AGCAGGCTGGGTTTCGCCGCTCGGTGGCCAGGAATAATCCAGGTGAGGGCGCCGGCTCCGGTTCCCACCCGCCTCAGAACAGCTGGGTCCGTTTCTCTGCCAGAACTTCCAAGGGGCGACCCACAGATAGGGGTTTCATTGGTGCCACACTGCACCCCTGGAGAGACGGGTGGAAAATTAGCCCACATAGCTCCCTGTGGAATATGCCAAGTTATTGTCATGTGCCATGAAGTCAGACCTGATTTCCAGCAACCCGAAGGGGGGGTTTCAACATAAAGGAGGCATTTTACCCATTCCATGGCTCAGCTTCAAACCCAGGCCTCCTTGATACGCACTCCGTCACCCTACCCACGACACCAGGCCGGGCATCTTTGCTTCCAATCGACAACGACGCTAACTAGAATTTTTGAGCTAGGTGAGATGTTCGAGGAATTGTTGACCACAGTCACTTCCCATCGGGTTTCCAATGGCCAAGCAGGGATTCGAACCCAGGACTCATGAGTCCTAATCCAACCTTGTCTCCGCTATATAACTGAGATTCTCTGGGGGGCCAGATTCTGGAAACATTCTCCGGTTATTCTGTGCTTGCACAGCCTCAGAAAAGATCACCGACAGACTGAGATGCATTGGCTAAGATCAATTCCATCTGCAGACCTAAGCAACTGGTAATCCTCATCCTCATCTTAGAACTGCAGAGCTGGAAGGGACCCCTAGGGGTCATCCAGTCCAGCCCCTGTCCAGGAGGCACACATGGGGGGAATCGAACACCCAAACTTCATCCACTGAGCTCTCTGGCGCTTCTTAAAAGCCCGGTGGTCCCAGGCTGCGTTGCTTTGAATCTAGGTCCGTCTTTTGCATGGTGGTAACATTAAAAAAAAAATAACACCTCCAAGCTCTGAAATTAACTCTGGAACCATTAAAATGTGGCTTGCTGGGGCTGCATCATTAATATAAGCACGCTGGTGGAACGTGAATAACAGTTTCCCTTCGTTCAGCACAGCAGTTCCAAACTTTTTCCTGTTGTGGCTGTTTTAACTACCTTATCTGTTTTAATAAGCTGTGTTTTATATTTATTGTCACAGCTTCCTGTGAACCACCTTGGAGAAACATTACAGTACATTCAAAGGCGGTGCCATAATATCTTAAATAAAGGATTAATAAACAAATGTGTGCACTCGTACTCCCTGTGGTAGAGACCAGGCAATCACAGCTCTTTGCTTGTACTGTATTTCTGTGGGTAAATTAGAATCCTGGTCCCTGAAGGGCTTTTTAAAACCTTCAGTGGCAGAACAAATATTTTTCCCCACGAAAATCCTCCAAGGAGCACAACGTGAAATGTTGCAGAGTTTTGGACTTCTAGTTAAATTCCCTCAGATGCACAGCAGCAGTCTAAGGATTTACAGAGTAGAATAGTTTCAAGTTCCAAAGTAGACCACCCCTTTTCCCATTCACTGGCACTTATATAGTCTCAGTAATTCATTCTGAGACCTTAATAGAAGAAAGGGCGAAAAGTTTAATTGCTTACAATCAAACAGGTCAAACCGCCAAGGGACAAACATTCCCGCTTTCAACAACAGACTCTAGAGATGGAAAAAGGCCCGAAGAGGCGGGCCTTTCTTTGAATTCAGAGATGGGAGGGAACAATTGGCTACTGCAGGATAGACTGACAGCCTTATAAGTCCCTCAATTGGCTACTGCTGGATAGATTGACAGCCTTATAAGCCCCTTCCAGCAACAGCTTTTACACTCAGCCTGCAAGGTGGTAAAACCTCCGACACGAACTGCCAAAATGCTGGGGGTGGGTAGATTACCAGAAAGATCCAAAAATCTACTTCCAGCATTGAAAAATTGATATTTTGGGATATTAAATATTTCAAGAGGCCGTATGTCCTGTTTAAAAGGGGGCTCGCAACCCTTCCAAGCTTCCAAGTTGGTCTGTTCGATGGCTTACTTCCTCGTTCGTTCATTTGCTTGTCTGGCAGAAAGCTATTTCAGAGCTTGGGAGCACTGTAGTCTGATCAGGCCAGGGGCGAATAAAACACCCAGCCTGCGACCCAACCCTGCCTCATGAGGACTAGCATCTGGCTGGCTTTTTTTAAAAAAATACAGGGCTTGTTAATCCTTCCAAATAGCTCGGGATTCCAGGATGAGAAGCCTTCACCGCCGCTTGATTGTGAACTGGAAGACATTGGCAGGGCTTGAAAAGTTTGTTTGCCTCTGGAGGGGATGCTATGGAAACCCAACAGGGATCCGAGATCAGATCTTAATCACCCTTTCTATTGGGCCATTAGCCTCTTTCGCCAACCTCAGCAAAGCCTGTCGCTTTAGCAAACTGAAGTGAGCAGCCAAAACACGGGATATTCTCTGCTTTCCTACAGTGGTTGGAAAACACTGGATTCCATCTTGACAGATGTTGTGGCTTTGACCAGCAAAGTGAAGCAGCCTAGTATTGGGGGAGTGAGTGACTCCTGAGGAAGCCAGCTTCTCCATGGCTAGTTCCTCTTCACACACAGCCCAGAACCCGCTTGTCATTAAAAGTCAAGGGGGGGCTCTGACTCCACAGTTTGAAAAATCCACACTGTTGGAATTAAGGCGAAGGTTGGCAGTTCTGAGGTCAACCGGCCAGGGAGTCTCCAGCCGGTTTCGGGAACTCTCCGAGGTGCTGAAAGAGATCCCCAGGGTCTGCCAAGCCCCGTGGAACAGCTCCTCGTGTGGGAAAGCTGTGCAGTCGGCTTGGATGCTATTCTTGGCACAATATTCCTTGTCTGATGGCCTTCAGCCAAGTTTGACTGTCCACCTGACCCGGTCCTATGTCTCTGTTTGTATATGTGAGTCTGGCTAGTTCTATGTTGGCGCTGCCTCTGTGTTCGGTCTGTTTTTGGGCATTCAGTGCTACGGAAGGCAAACAGCCCAGCTGTTTAAGTGGTCCCAGGCAAGAGACCCCCCCTCCTCCTTAACCAATATTTCTCCAAACCAAGGATCTACATGAACAAAAAAGGTAAGACGAGGAATATACAGTGGTGCCCCGCATAACAAGCGCTTCGTTTAACAATGAATCCGCATAGCGATGCGTTTTTTGCAATCGTTTTTGCGATCGCATAGCGATGTTTTAAGAACAGCTGATCGGCGGTTCCAAAATGGCCACCTGGTAAATAAAATGGCCGCCCGCAGTGTTTTCGCGCCCTTTCCTCGCTTACCGGGCAGCGAAAATGGCGGCCGCGGGGAGTTTTTTGCTCATAGGAACGCATTAAACATGTTTTAATGCGTTCCTATGGGCCTTTTTGTTCCGCATAGCGACGAATCCATATAGCGACGATTTTTTCAGATTATCGTCGCTATGCGGGGCACCACTGTACAGGCAAAAGGAAGAAACTTGAAGAAGTCACTTGTTGGACTACAAATTCCAGAATCCCGCAGCCAGCATGTCCACAGGGGAAGTTCTAACACAAAATATACAGTATTTCCCCTAAGCTCTGAGGAAGAAGCCTTATGACAAGCAAAATGAAGCACAGCGTCTGGAGAACACGTTAGACTCAATGAACTGAAATAAAGTCCCTCAAAGCTACTCACTCAATAGTTGCTTATGTGAAGCGGTGATGTTTTCTGTGTCCGGTTTAAAAGGGTTTACCATCGGTTGGCAGGTGCTTTGAACTGCAGAGAAAAGCAAACAAGAGGGAAGAAAACACTGTGAGGTATTTATCCCAGTAGGGCTGTTTGAGCCCACGTCTGCCATGGCACCACCGTGGATGAACCATCTGCAGCTTCAGGTTTGTGAAGCTGGAAATGAAACCCATTTGAAGTGGCAACCCCATTTTAACTTTCCTCTTACTCTAGGGCAGGACCCTTGTAAGGGGAATGGTTCAACAGCAGCTGGGAAAACCCTTTCTTGGAGGCTGAAAACATTCGCTTTCTCACCAACTTTGGACCACATCAGGATGTCGGTATCAGTTCCAAGATGCGGAAAAATGCAGAAATATAGAATGCTCTAAATACACCCTAGAAATATATATAAATAAATATGCATGCATAAATATACATATAAATATGTATACCTCAATATGCATATGTATTTCTGGGGGGCTTGCTTATTTCTAGGCAGTGGATAAATGAATCAGTGGATACTGATCTCATGGAGGCGGGGGTCCCACAGTTCATCTTCTAGAACAATTTCCCTAAACTTACGTTCTTGTGGATTGGATGTAGATGTAAATTCGTAGCTTCCAGAATCTTTCTGTTGACCTTGAACCTTTTAGTCGTCATTCTTAGCTGAAACTGAGTCTTAAAATGCTATAAATTGCATTTGACTGCATCCGTTCCTTGTGCATCAATAATGACAAGTTACACCTGTAAAGTCGCACTCTGATTTTAGACTGCAATTCATGCTTAATTTGTAGTGAAAAAAGGAAGCTGTCCCGATCTACCTCATTGCCATCATCCTCGTCTTTGGTGTTCCTTTTAGAGGTAGCTGGGTTTGCTTGTTCCCTCGGTTCACCTCTCAGTTAAACAACTTAAGAAAATTTAAATCCCTGATATTTCAATAGGTTCTCTGCTGTAAGCATGACTCAGTTCGTACTTTTTTGGAACGGAACACTCCGACTCACCCTATCAACGTGTCCGCTGGGTTCGTGATCAACAAAACCAGCTATTTCGAAAGATTTCCATTTTCCCCAAATTTGTCGGCTAAGAAACCAATCTCTTTGACCTCCGCCTCAGACTAGTTATCATCGCCGTAATGATCTTTGATTCTCCCAGAGCTGAGAGAACACACACTGAAAAACAGAGCCTGATTCATTATGAGTTGAATAAAGCTAGCTGAGAGAAATAATATAATCTAATTCTGGATACCCAAAATCAAAAGGGATACTTACACAGAATGAGCGCCAATGGAATCTGGTAAATATCTTAGAGCCCATAATCCCTGAATTAACCTCCACATCCCAAATTCTAAATGAGGAATATTTGATCCACAATTATATCCACACACGGGCAATTGTAAAATTTAAGGATAGTATAATAACCAATAGGATTTATGGCAGAAGAAAGGAACTAGCCACAAGAGGCATACCAGTTGTTAGGTACTTCCAAAACTTAGCACACTCACTATCCTGGATTTATGGCAGAAGAAAGGAACTAGCCATTAGAAGCATAACAATCGTTAGGTACATCCAAAACTTAGCACACTTACTATCCCTGGAAAATGAATATGCAAGGGAGACAGAAAGGGACAATCCAGTCTATGTCCAGGAGAAGCACACTGAGGAAGATCTTATTCAAATTTTAGAAGACCATTCCAATGATGGGCAAAATGATTATGGTTATCCCACAGGGGGAAAAAAGCAAGGATGATAGCCATACAACAAAAAAGATCCTTCCTAAATACTTAAAGTATTTAGGGATATACACTACAGAAGAAAGAGGATCAAGGTCTGTGCCCATCAGAAAATGCTGAGGCCTGAAGTCCTCATGAGGACTAGAAGATTGGAAGACTTCTGAAGTCCTCATAAGGACTAGAAAATTTGGCAGGTTCCATTTAAATCTAAGGGCTCTATCCTATTCACAGTGATGTCGTGGGATCTCCTGAGAACTCAACTATAGATTTCCTATTGCAAGACTACTTCCTAGGACACGCATGCGCGCACACACACACACATGCACATGCATGCATGTTGGCCAAAGCCCACCAAGACACATCAAGCCCACTTACATCGGCAAGTCCGCCAGAGCCCAGAATGGGAGCTGAGCCTCTCCGTGCTGTTGCTTAACCTCTCCAGTTTGGAAGCGTCGACGAGGTACCAGAAGTCGGTGCCGATGGCCGCCACCAGAAAAACGAAGCCTAAGACGCCAAACAGGGCCGCGGACCAGGAGACGAGGTGCCGCTTGCCTTTCATGGTGACGCGCTCCCCGGGGCCTTCTCCCCCTTGGCCCTAAAAGTCCGCTGACGGAGATGCTGTTTTCATCTCTGGTGGACGATGCGCTCCTCAGCCCGTCGCTCCTCGGAACTTCCCGCGTTCACTTCTACTCCCAAAAACGAACGCTGGTTCTGACCTCTCCCTTACTCTTTGTGTTGACTTATCTCTTTTCCCCTCTCCTGGTGGGGGAAGGCAGGGCGTAAGCCCTCCAGAACAAAACAGGTGTCGCTTCACACATGTGTCAGATGCTCCCCGTTTAAATAAACACACAGGGCACTCAGTAGAAATGCCTGCTCTGCTCAGTCTGATTGCTGGGAAGCTTCTCCTCAAGCACAGAGGCTACTCATCTACAACCCTTCTCTCCCTCTCTGGTTTTTTCTCCCCCCTGAATGTGAAGAGAAAATGAAGAGGAGGAGGAGAAGTGAAGAGGGAGGTGGCGGAGACCGCAATCAGCACCAGAGACAGCTCCCAGGGATGGATAAGGGCCAGAAATGTTCTGCTCAAAGCCAGCAGTGGTGAGGAAATTTCATTTGCTAAAATGAATGCCACAACCTGCACAAAAAAATGGTGAGGGTATTTTTATACATGATGTGAAAAACATCCCCCCTTTTTTCTTCATTTCCTGCCCTCCATTGGCTTCAAGCCTGCGCAGATGCTAGAAAAAAGTCTCATTTTTCAAGCCGGTCTAGATGCTAGAACAATTCTCATCTTTTTAAAAAGTCTCTCTGTCTGCTCTCGATGGCACTTCAAAATCAGACTACACAAGAGGCAGGAAGTTTCGAAATCTTGGTTACGCGACAGACAGACAGGGATTTGCACAGCAGAATTAGCTTCGAGTCTCCCTGGAGTAGACCACCCCCTTGCCACTCCTCAACCAACACTTAGAGGTCTCCCTAATTCACTCCGAGAAAATTAGAAGAGAAAGAATTAAAAATATTTCATGTACTGACAGTTCAGCAGATCAAACAGCAAACTTACAAATGTGACTGCCTTCACCAAAGTTCAAGAGAGGGGAAGAAGCACTGAGCAGAGAGGTGGGGCTCTCTTTGCATTCAGAGGCAGGGAAGGAATGATTGGTTAGTGCTGGATAGATTGACAGCCACCCCCGCCCAGGAAGGTCCCTCCCAGACAAACCTATAAAAGGCAGCATGCGAAACTGCATAAACTCCAACAGAAAGGTGCTTTTAGGGTGACTTGTGAACTATCTTCCCGCCCAGGAAGGTCCCTCCCAGCCAAACCTATAAAAGGCAGCATGCGAGACTAAGGTGCTTTTAGGGTGGCTTGTGGACTATCTCCTGTGCCTCTTATTTGTGTTGAAGAAGGGGGGGATCCCTCCACTTTTGCTCTGCCTTTCAAGGGGCTAAATCTCAGAAATTTACATCACTTGGGCCTAACAATGTAAAGCAGAATGGTAGAAAACAGGTTTTCCATAAGAAAAAGCCCGGATCCAGTCTCTCTTTCCACCCAAAGATCAACCTTTAATTCCTAGGAAGCTCTTGAGGGCCACCTCCATCCACACCAGTGGTTGCAAAAGAGTGGACTTAAAACCACCATGTCCTTCTACGTTACAGCTTGGGAGATGAGAATTCATGATATACCAGGTTGCTTCCAGGGACCCGGCAGATCAGATGGGGCCCTTTCCAGCCGGAAAGAGAAGCAGAGGTGTGGTGCTTATCCGGCAATGTGAGGTCAGCTCTCCTAGCGTGTCATTGATCTCCTGCATTCCTGGTATCGTTGCCTGCCAGAAAGCCAGGGCACCCCAGTGGCCTCCGAAATGGGAGGATACCGTCCATACACACAAACACATCCACGCTCACAAACCTGCTTCCGACCCTACTGAGAAACAAAAACACCCATTAAAAACAAGGACACTGCTCAGGAAGGATACAAAGCAAAGCGTGTGCAAAGTGGCTCTGAATGTTTTGAACAGAGATGTTCGAAACATTCAGAGCTGCTTGGGCTCAGCTCTGTCGGCAACATGAGTCACAAAACCCACAATCAGTCTCAAGCCACCCACGTTCACCTGGAAGCGCTTCCCAACCCTGTGATTTTCTTGAACGAGACATAGAGAAGACGAGAATTGTCTGGGAGGCTTCTGAGGCACTCAGTGTTTATTATTTGATGGGTATCATTGTGTTCTTCTGCAAAGAGAACACCAAGTTTGTGATGATTCTTGTGATGATTATGATTACTGCTTTTTTTTAATGATTAGTAGTGTTTTGTTCCAGATATTCCTTTTCATTACACAAGCAGGCAATGTTTAAAAAAAAACACACACACCAAGCATGATTGTATTTACAAATGGTACTCGAAAAGGTGGCCAGTGAAATAAAATGTGTCCCAGTGAAAGTAAGATGAAAATGGAGTCTGAGGGGAATGATCCTGACACCTTTGGTGGTCTGTCTGCCTCTGGCCTGCAAATCCCCCCCCCATGGACTTTATGGAGACCCCATCAACAGGACAGCCTGAAGGAGTGGAGAAGAGGGAAGACCCAGGAGGGAGGGAGGTGGCAGAGGCCAATCACTCACACTGAAGGAATGGGATTTAAGGTATACAGTAGGATCCCCATATCTGCTGAAAATCATGGATAATGGAGAACACTACAGTATGTATTTAAAAAATAGAAAATTATTTTCACATGCATTACCAGGACTGGCTACTAGAGACCATGCTATACATTCTTCACTAGGAATTATTCATATCAAAGTCTTGGGCCCCATCCAGTGGCCAGTTCTGGTAATACATGTGAAAAATAGCTTTTTTCTATATTTTTTTTCTTTTAATATTTTTTAATATTTTCACACCAGGGATGTGAAACCATGGATACTGATCTCATGGATCTGAGGGTCCTACTGTATATATTTATACACTCACATACACAGATATATATAGAGTGTTGCAGATGATAGATAGATAGATAGATAGATAGATAGATAGATAGATAGATAGATAGATAGATAGATAGATAGATAGATAGATAGTATCTATCTATCTATCTATCTATCTATCTATCTATCTATCTATCTATCTATCTATCTATCTATCTATCTATCTATCTATCTAGGTAGGTAGGTAGGTAGGTAGGTAGGTAGGTAGGTAGGTAGGTAGGTAGGTAGGTAGGTAGGTAGGTAGGTAGGTACCAGAAAGAAGTGAATATTGAGTCACCAGCTCACTCATTCAATGCATGTAAAACCATCACCATCTTAGAACTACAGAGCTGGAAGGGACCTTATATAGACCATTGAGTCCAGTCCTTTTCAAGGAGGCCCAGCAGCAGATAGAATTCTGGCTACACGGGCAGATCCCTCCACCCCTGAGCAGGAGGCCACCGAATCGCTTATTTTAATTCCATTTAACTGCAATGAAATTGCTTCTTTGGCGATGATCAATCTTGTCATAAGGCAGACGCCAATCTCCTCCTCGTTTCAGCTCCACAGCGGCCTTCCCCGTGATTGGATCAGGAGGAGGAGACGGCAGAGAAAGGAAAGACAGTTCTGCAATGCTAAACCTGCCTCCGGATCTACACATCCATTTTAATCCTTCCTTAATTTGCAGCCACTCCTCTTTGTCTCACATCCGATCGCCTTTGGGATTAAAAATGGGCACTGTCCAAAAGCATCATCTGCCAGGCTGCATTTTTACTCTATAGACTCGTAGATAGTAACTCTGGAGCAAAGCCGCGTGCTGTACAATGTCAATACGAAAGCCTTTTAATTCCCTTTGACATGGCATTTTTTTTCTAATGCGCAGTCCAGGGGTTTTTCCTGTTTTGCTCGGCTAGAGTTTGTGCAGTGTTGTTACAGGTTTATCACAAAGCTGGAAAGAGGCACATGATTTGTAAATAGTGATCAGACTTGGAAAACGCTACGTAGATAACATTGATTATCTCAGAGACGGGGATTTGGAGATGAAGGAATGGGAGGGCAGGGTTCGAAACACAGTCTGTGCCTCTTTATAATCCTATAACTGGATTGTTCCTTCCAATAATTGGCTTCATTCTTATTTGTCAAATCAAGGTAGCCTTGGGCCGTGAGGGGGTGCAGGCGTGCATCCCCAGGAGGCCATCTGGCCCCAGGACATAAGTTATGGCAGCTGGGAGGAGGGCAAGTGTTCTCAGGATCAGGCCAAGAGAGTATGCTGTGATGAGAAACAGCAGGAGGAAGCAGAGGAAGGGCAGGATTCGGAAGACAGAAGGTCCTTGCCGATCTCCGAAGGTGAGGAAGTCAGGGAGGATGCAACGGAGAACACTGGAAGCTTTCTGTCCTCACGCCAGTTTGCATGCTTGCAAGAGGAATCAGACACCAGCGACTCCAGCTTCACGCTTGGTCCAAGGCTCTGTCAGCCTGGACGTCATCACAGCCCTGACCTGGGGAAGGGAAAAGTAGAGATGACTTGTGCAACCCCACTTTTTATTTTTTTTATTTTTTCATCTGTACAAGCTTTCCCTCAAAAGGCTGCCTCCTGGACCTGAGGTCTCCTTTCCTTCCTGCTTTCCAGAACCTGGGCTCTGGAGACTTCCGGTGAAGTTAACTTGGGTTGCCAAGTTGGCCAGTGGCATCCAAGGGTTAGGAGACCATAACTCAGCCCTATGAGATTGTGAGGAAAGGGTGTTGATGTTGAAATACGGACTTTATGCAAGCTAAGGTCCTCTCTTTCCTTTTATTTGACGGGTAAGTGGCCATTGTTGTAGGCATCCTTCAGTCTCGAGAGACTAGGGTAGCATGCTCTGAATAGAGGTCTTGGGACAGCATCTAGTGTGGCTGAGAAGGCCAATTCGAAAGTGACCATCCCTTCCACACTGAAGACAAATCCAATCTGTCCCCTGTCCAGCTCTCTGATTTTGCTGCTTTCAGGACTGCCTCTTTGCTTCGGCCTGCTGGACAAGGGTCTCTTCAAATTGGGAGAGGCCATGATGCAACGCCTGCCTCCAGGCTGAACGCTCAGAGGTCAAGGTCTCCCATCTGTTGAGGTCCATTCCTAAGGCCTTCAGATCCCACTTGCAGATCTCCTTGTATCGCAGCTGTGGTCTCCCTCTGGGGC